GCATTATATAAAGGTACAATTCCCAATGAGAAATGTAATTGTGTTGTATACCTACAATGTACCAATAAAAGAATTTAATACAAAAAAAGAAAAATTAAGACAGGCACGTAATGGATTGTACCTGCTTGCCTATGTAAAATGTGACATCTATGTCTTTGTAATCTCTTAACACATTGCCTTTGATTTGTCTCATATTCTGACTTAATACTTATACAGTAATAAAACTGTTTTCTTTCTCTACTGCCTTTGTGGAGGGATTTCTGGGTTGAGAGATTTTTTTTTTCAACTTTTCTAACAGCACCTTCACTGTTTATTCTAGAGTGGCTATCATCTTACTTATACCTTTGCTAGTCATTTTTTGGTTACAAACCTTCTCCCTTTCACCCAGCTTCTGCTAAAAAGGTGACACAAAGAAATTGCAAGAAGTTGAGGTTAGAAGTGTAGCGTTTCTGATTGTAGTTGGGCGATTACGTCATGCTAGTCTGTTCCATGCTGAATAAGAAACATCAGTTAGTGATTCCCACTTCTTTAACAGAACACAAAACAAAAGCACAATGAAAGGAAGGAAAGGAAGAAATGATAGACAGAAGAAGACCAGGTAAGTTCAGCTATGTGCAGGAATTTTTTAAAGAAGCACAATCTAGATTTTAATTTGTATTAGATCCTTTGGGACCTAGTATTTCTCATGTTAGCATTTTCCCAATTTCTTTTGGATCCTGTGTGTGGCAGTTCTGCAGTGCCTTTAGAGTGACATTTCCATTGCATTTACTTAACTTTGTTAGGTCTTAGTTTTCTTATCTGTTAAATAAGTTACACTAGATGCTCTTAAATCCATACATCTACAAAGACTATGTTCCACAGTTTTTCTGCCTATGGATCATGAGCCACAGTAGTATGTGTAACAATCTGCATTTGAGTGAGAAATTAACCTTACTCACAAAATCAAATCACACTTGCCTAGAAATGTAAAACCTGAACAGTTGTAAAAACCAAACTCATCTATTGCATTGTTCTGGTGCTCAGGGCATTAGCAGCCCAGTCATTCCCTTGCCTAAGCCCTGTGCCCGGTGGCCCTGCCCGTGGACACTGGCAAGACTCTTGAGCTCTGCTGTGGCCACTTTTGGTCGTCTTTCCAAGCACGGCCCCCACTTCACTGATCCCCTGCAAGCTGAAGCTGGTAGCAGTTACAGCAACTGCCATTTCTCTGTATTCTGAAAACCTTGAGATTTATAACCCAAGACACAGGGACAAGTGAGCACTCTTTTAGGCTTGGGATATCTGTGCACAGGACCAGAGCTGAGAAAGGGAGACTTGCTGTGGCGGGCATGATGTCAAAGTCAGAGCTGACGCTGAGCCAGAGTCCGGGACCCATGGCTGCCCACCCAGGCACCTAACTCACAGTTTGTCTCACAGCAGCACTAGATCAGGAGACAGAAATTCACTAGGTGAAGAGCTGTGGCTGCATTGTATCTCTCACCCACTCCCACCACAGTGTCAGGTAGCTAATCGATGCTAGGATCTAGATGCCTGGAAGACCTCACATTACAGAACAGACACAGTGGGAAGCCACCTGGGAAGTCACGCGGGAAGCTATCACTCTAGTTTCATCTTCTACAAAGTAATGCTCGTGTCTTCCTTAATTCATTCTTTCACCTCATTTTCTATCTCTAACTGGTTATTAAATTATGTAGTCTATTTTAAAGATTGTTAAAATAACATAAAAATTTACATTTTAACCATGCCTAAGTGCACAATTCAGTGGCATAAGTACATCCACATAGTTATGCAACCACCAGTAACCATTCCAGAACCTTTTCATCATCCCAACAGAAACTTTGCACCTATAAATATTCTCCTCTCCCTCTGGCCATGGTAACCTCCCTTCTACTTTCTATCTCCATGAATCTGGCCATTCTAGGTACATGTAGGTGGAATTATACAGTATTTGTCCTTTTATGCTGGCTTTGATTCCTTTGAGCATAACCGCTGTATTTAACATGGGGGGAGATAAAGAAGGTCTGTCATGCCTCTCCCTCTTCTCACAAGGACACTGGTCACATTATAGAGGCTCCATCTTCAATAAACTCATCTAAAGTGAATTCCTTCCCAATACCCCAGCTTCCAACACAGACAAAACATTCAGCCCATTACACCCTTTTTCCTTCTAGTTATTTAAAACAGCATTTCCCCTGAGTATATAAGTACTTGATGTTAATCATAAAAATTGCAAAATAAAACAAATACAAGCCAGGAGTGGTAGCACATGGCTGTGGCCTCAGCTACTTGGGAGACTTGAGTCAAGACATTTGCTTGAGCTGAGGCACAAAGAATATGTGATCCACTATAACTTCAAATACATCAATTGTTGACATTATATATATTTGTGTAAAGAACTTTTAAAATCTAGTCTTTGAATGTATTCATTATGTATCACAAACATGTCCTAATAAAAATTAATTTTAAAATCCTATCAAAACAACTTTTAAAATACTCTAATGAATCTACTATATAACAGTGTGAGATTCTACTTGATTAGACTATTCATAAGGTATTCATAATGGAATCTGAAGTTTAGGCTAGTTAACATTAACTGAAATACCAACCAGTCTTTCAGTTGACAGTATCTAATTTGCATTCTACACTAAGTGTTTCCCATAAGTGAAGACTTCAGTTAGGTGTGGCGGGAGCTGCAAAGATGAGACACAAAACATACATCCTCCATCCGTTCGGGAGTGCAGGGGTAGGAATGGGGACAGGAGGAGAAACTTAAATGCAACCACAGAAAAGATTTCAAGGAGCCAGAAGAATCTGGAAAGTTTTCATGAGGAAACAGAATTCAGGGCCCTTGGGTTGGAGGGGTGGCTTAGTGGTAGAGTGATTGCCTAGTATCCTCAAGGCCCTGGTTCCCTCCCCAGTCCCAGGGGTTGGGGGAGTTAGGGGCTTTAAACAAGCCTTTGGTAGAAAATGAAGGTATAAAGGAGAAAGAGAAGAATGAGATGTGACAGGTCTGGCTCCTGTCCGCCTTGCCCACAACTCCAGTTCCTGGAATGGCTGTTCCTAGCCACCTGTGCCTGAGAACAGTGCCTACTCTGCCAGGGCAGGGCACACCTGCCCCGAAGGCCAGGGCACAGCACACGCACAACAGAACATCAGTCATTGCTATGGGCATGCGCTCTGCTATTCTCACTCCCCCAATCGCACAACCCCCCACTGTGCCTCACTCCTAAGCCTGCCCCACTGAATGAAATAAATAAATCCAAAGTAAATATACAGTGAAAATACATTTTAATACAGAAGTCTTCAACATTAGTACTGTATTTAGAAAATATTTACAATGGCATTTACAATCCATTTTACTGTTGTTTTTGTGAACAAAGAGATGACCATGTACACACAGCTATCTACAGTCACTTCTTTCTAACACAAAAACCTTAACTATGTAGAAAAAGGGTAAGAGTTAAAGGTGCAACTGTGAAGGTCATGATCAAATCAAATCCCTACAAGTTCTTTTGGAGTCAAGGAATGCAGGTTAAATCATGGGAGATGAGGCAAGTGTTACCACTGCTCCCTCATTTAACTGACCTCCCCAGAAGCATGTAACAAGCCTTCCTAGTGCGAAGCATGGCAGGGCCAGTCCATAGCAGCTGCTTCAACTTTACAGCAGACTTTTTTAGCTATTAAAGCTAATGACCTATGAATCACTTTTCTGACTATAAGCTGATCTAATAGTTGAGAAACTCTCTCAAAGATGTCTGAGGCCTGGTTTTATGTATGCTCTAGTGAAGATGATGCCTGCTGTGCAGATCTATGATTTGGCTAGAAGCCTCAGTGGGATAGGTGAGAACAGTGAAGAGCAGCTCTACTAAGAGCAACTGGATGGTTCTGTACGCTACAGAAAAATCCAGTGAAAGTTTAAAAAAAGCCAGGGCTAATACAATGGTCCACGAGTCACTTTCCTTATGGTTAAAGCCGCCACAACTGTCCTAGCATTTTCTGGATGGGGAGATAAGGCTTGTGTGGCTTTAAGACAGACACTACTGGTTATACCTACATTTTATTTGATTAAGCTCTTGGTCAGAAATTCAGAAGTTAATATTTTGTATTTGTATAAAAATATAATCTATTTTATGAATTTCTAGAAATAAATTATGAAGAAAAATAGAGACTACCTGTTCCTAATGATCTCCCTACAAACTGCAAACCGCAGCCTTTGCCTGGGAAGAAAAACATACAGAATGTTATGTTTACCTTCAACTACATTTCATTCTTTTCTATCCCTTGTACTTTTCTAAGGGACAAGCAATAAATAAAGCTAATGACTACTGGGTAGTAGGGTAAAAACTTCTTAAATTATTTTTCCATTTAAGAATTTCATGAAAGAAACATGTAGCATATTTCATAGTAGCATGAATACAAGAAAATGGGAGAACCAGTTACATTTTTTGTGTGCTAGAGATCAAACCCAGGGCCTTACATACACTAGGCAAGTGCTCTACCAGTAGGTGACATTCCCAGTTCCCAGTTTTACTTTTGTAACTACAAATGGTTGGCAACAGTTTCCTTAATAGTTATTGCAGGAGTGGGTCCAACATGAGTCCATATGTAGCCCTTCTCTGGTCTGGTGGGGACTGTAGGGAATGGTGATGACCTTGATTTGAAATACTCGGAAGGTGCATGACAAACAAATTCCAAGTATTCCATCTTCCTTGGAAGATCTTCCTCTGGCCCTAGAAGGCAGCCAATGGAAAGATTAAATATGTTTTTGAATGTATACTTAATTTTCATAAAATGTTAACATTTTTAGAAACCAGGAGGAAGCACTCTGGGATCGACATTAGCCCTTGAACATGCGCTACTTTGAAGTTACTGTCATTTTTTCTTACTTTGACTGCTTAAGGCATATGGCACTCTTCCAAACTGAATGACTCTACTAAGGTTCTAAGCACAATACTGAACATTAGAGTTTATTATGTGCCTCCACTGTTCTAAGTACTTTGTCTGTATCAATACTTAAAATCCTCACAACCCTCAACCCAGCACTATTATTACTTCTATTTTACGTATGAAAAAAGTGAGACAAGGGGCATTAAATGACTTGTCGAAGTCACATAGCTGTTAAGTGGTAGAGCTGTGAAGCCAGATAATCTGATTCCAGAGTTTGTGCTAACCTCCACTCTGTGCTTCAGAGCTTGGGCATTAACAAGAGGAGGTAGGAGAGGAGCTAGGGGGTGATTCTGACACATCACTGCTTCTGCTGGGCTCCTGCTCTACATATAAGGTAAATGAAAGTCCATTCTTTGTCTTATAAGCAGAAGATTAGAAATGTTTGGTTATGTATCAGTCTTGAATGTAGGTGAGAAAAACATTGGGATACTACTTGTCCTTGGAGTTCTCACTGAAGAAAAAAATGTAGTCTTTTCTCAGGATGCGAAAGTAATGCGTCCTCATTATAGAAAGAATTAAAAGCTCAAGGTAAAAAATTTTAAATTGTATTAAGTGCTAACTTCTTTTGAGTCTATGTCAATAACTTTTTGCCACATCTTTTTGACAGCCTTAAAATGATCAGAAGTACAGCTGCTGGGCCAGGGATTTAGCTCAGTGGGTCCGGCACCTGCCTTGAAAGCGCAAGGTTCCGAGTTCAATCCCCGGTACCAAAAAAAAAAGTATAGCTGTTGTCACTTCAACAATAAAAGGTCTAGAATATAAGGTCCAAAAAAAAAAAAAAAAAAGGTCTAGAATAATGCATGGTGTGTAGAGGGATGCATACTGAAAATTTATAAGATTTTACAGGACAGTTTTTGAGAAATTACTTTTGGGTGGTTTTTTTTTGGTACCGGGGATTGAACTCAGGACCTTGCACTTGCAAGGCAGGCACGGTGCCACTGAGCTAAATCCCCAGCCCTGAGAAATTACTTTTAAATACATTTTTATAAGTAACCTAAAAAATCTAGTTTCTGAGCAATAGACTGTTTTTGTCCAGTTTAATTCTGGGTCACTCAGAAAAATCTTATCCATATCACTTTTTAGTAGGTACACACAGCTCTAAGCTAAAATAACTAAAGGCACCCAAACCCCAACTATGCAGGTCTCTGATAATATGCAACAAAGCTCTCTACTTTCTTATACCTAATGTTTATTAGGGACTGAATTGTCCCCTAGCCTCTAAAGTCATGTGTTAATGGCCTGGTCCCTCAGTGAGATGGTACTGGAAATGGGATCTTTAAAGTGAAGCCGTAAGGGTGGGCACATTATTAGGATTAGTGTCCCTACAAGAAGAGACACCAGAGAGCTCTGTTTTGCTAAGCACACCTAAGAGAAAAGCTCGTGTGAGGTGAGAGCAGGAAGGCATCCATCTGCATGGCGGGTAGTAAGGCTTCACTCCCTTCCAGTCTTCACAGCCCCTTAATCTCAGACTTTCATCCTCCGGAGCTGTGAGACAATACATCTCTGTTGTTCAAGCCACTCAGTCCGTGGCTTTTTGTCGTGGCAGCCCAAGCAGACTAAAACATTCTTCCACATGAGAGAGCTAACTAAACTCAGCCAGGTGCACCACTGGTCACACTCACCTATGATATACGATGAAGGATCAAACTGGTCTTTGGGGCTAGAGAGAGTGGGTATGAGCCACGTCAGGGCTGCACTCTTCTCACAATACTGGTCCTGGATAAAACCCCTGACTTGAGCATAGTAGGGTTTTCCATCTTGTTCATCAATCACAGAAACAACATCACCAATTTGGTAATACACTCCCTGGGGGAAACAGAAGATAATTCCATATTTAAAATAAAAATAGAACGCTGCAGTTCTGCAATGAAACTTCTTTAGTAAGAAAGCAAATTTTCAAAATAGTCCATAAAAGGTCTAATACGTCAATGTTTATTTCTGATGCCAATTCTAGACTTGTTTCACTTTTGAGTGAAGACACACACACACACACACACTCAATTTGTACTTGTTCATAAAAATTATTTGATTTTATATCATTGACAGCACTATCTCTTTTTTTTAAAAGAGTAGATTTCATTGTTTTAGACTAGTTTGGGTTCACAGGAACACTGAAAGGTAGAGGTTTCCCTCTATACTCCTCCCTGGAAATGTACGGCCACTATTAATGTCTCCCACCATAGTGATATACTTTTTACAACAGATGAACCTCTACTGAGACATCATTATCACCCAAAGACCACAGCTGAGGTTAGTATACAGTCTTAGTGTTGTGTATTCTATGGGTTTGGGCAAATGTATAATGACATGTTTTCACAATTATGTTATCATATAGAGTAGTTTCACTGGCCTAAACTATCCTCTGAGCTCCATGCCACCCCTCTTTTTTTGCCCAGACTCATTAGACTATAGAAAGTTTAAGTGACTTGCTGAAAATCATACAGGCAGAAACTGTAACTCCTATACCCGCTTAATGGTCTTTCTCTGTATTTCCCTGAAAATCAGCGCTTACCTGCTGAGGATATACTCTACAAACTCCCCTCCCTCCCCAACCATCCATTCAAAAGAATTGATACCATAAATTCAAACCAAAAGAAATAACAGAAACTCTTGATTATAATCAGTACCAAGATATGTTTACCATGAATTTAACATGCATTCCCCACTCACTGCCTTTAGTTCTGTAACTTCCCACAATACAATTACTGGTATATTTAGCATTCAAAGCTTTGTGTCTTACTCAATTCCTATTCCACTTTAATATCCAGCTAACTAATCTGTGTACGTCCTGTGTGGAACACTCCCTGTACCTCTGCCATCCATCCCATGCCCTCTTCTCTGGGTTTCAAAATGGAAACTCTCTCTTTTGACAACCCCGATGGATGATCCAAGTTCCTGTGACATCCTACACTTCCCTAGGTAGGTGCACAGTTCTGCATAGGCCAGTGTGTCCTTGACTGCTGCAAAAGCATGTGATTCATTGTTGCTTACCATGAAATGGGGCTTTGGCAAGCAGGTGAAGTTGCTGGGCTGTGCACCTCAACTATAAAAATGATTTGAACACTTCTAGCGGGGCCGGGGATTTAGCTCAGTGGTTCTGCCGCCTGCCTCACAAGCACAAGGTCCTAAGTTCGACCCCCGGTACCAAAAAAATAAAGAAAGAAAGAAAGAAATACTTCTAGCAATTGAACTGCAACATGAGCACCTGACAGAGCGGGAGCAGAAACTCTGGTGGACACTCATCCCTGTGTCCAGCGTGACTGTTGCATCTAATCATAACGAATGGGTGTGGCTGATGCAGGCCACAGCTGGCTAGTTTAACAGCTTTCTCCCAGCCCATAAAGTTTTAAGTTTACTCATCAGGTAAACAATTTTCATTTACGATTAGCTTTGCCCACATGTATAGACATTGCCAAATTAATAATATTTGCTCACCACAGACACTCAAATATATGCTGAATGGATGTCAACAGTAAATTTGTAATAGCATAAAAGTAAAACTGCAATGCAAAGACAATGTCTGAGTAAAAGATTTTGATGGCAAGCAATGCCTGGCACACAGTAGGTGTTTATTAATATGTTCTATTTTCAACAGTACCCCCTCTTACCTGTTGGGGATATGTTCCAAGACCCCCTAGTGGATGCCCGAAACCTGGATACTACCAAACTTCATATATTGTTTTTTTTCCTGTACTTATGATAAAGTTTAATTTATAAATTAGGCACAGAAATAAATTAACAATAATAATGAAATAAAACAATCATAATAATATACTGTAATAAGTTAATTAAAATTTATGAATTACTTATTTTGGAATTTCCAATATAATATTCTCAAAGTGCAGATAAGTGAAACCTCAGAAAGCAGGAACCATGGGTAAGGAGAGAATACTATGCATATATGTAACATCAACAGGATTGAGCCACTTGGTAGAAGCAGTGCCTCATTTGCCAGCAGTTTTCAAAGTTTCTGGCTGAAAGAGCTGGATTAGAAGTGATCACACTGAGTTCATGAAGGTGCTCTGTCATGCAGTTCTTCAGGGAGGCCACTTAATCCTTCTGGTTCCTGGATTCACACGCTCTTGCCTATCACCCCAATAACCTACACTCAATTCCCTCTTGCATGCTTGATCTAGGCTCCACCTCAACAGCTGGCAGTAACCTCTTGAACCTCCACCATTGTGCTGGCACTGGGTTTCTGCCACATTGAGTATTTTGTTGCATTTTGGCCTTATTACTTAATAAGCACATGTACTGAACAGCTTCCACATATATTTCCATCACTAGCACACTAAATTCTGAGCTTCAGATATAATCTACAAACTATGTTCAGCTGGGAAAGTTAAAACCCAAATTTAAAGACGTGATGATGCTGATTACTACTACTCATTAAGTGCCAACACTGCTAACTGGTTAACATGCATGATCTCAGGAGGTAAGTACTGTTAACGACCATTATTTTACAGATGAGCATTAGAGAGGTTGGTCCTAGCCCAGTCACACAGACACTTGCCAAACTGGGGAGCCAGGATCTGAAGTCTGGGCTTAGGTTCCTCCTTCAGGCTGCTTTGCTCAATGAATTCTCAACTGTGTAATCTTGAAAAAGTTCATTTCTAGCCTCAATATCCTCATCTATAAAAAATGAGGAGAACAGTACCAACCCACAGAGTGGACTGAATGAAGTAAGGTAAGTAAAATGCTCAGCTCAGTGCCTATTACATAGCAAGCACACACCACATTTCAGCTATTTCTTAATAACAATGTACAAAAAGTAATGTATGAAATGCTAGAAGTACAGGAGAGATGTCTGCCTGTGTACAGACTGTTTCTGCTTGATAAGCACTGTTGGCTAATAAAAATAAATACATTCAATAGTCATAAAGCCACATGCCACTTAAGCTTCCCAGGAGTTGGTCCTGGACCCGAGTTCAATCCCCGGCACCAAAAAAAAAAAAAAAAAAAAAA